TGATTAGAGTGTGGCACCAGGGGCCATCAATTTTGAACCTTTTCACAATATTCTAATTTTCTGATATGATGAATTTGAGATTTTCATTTGTTGTCATTTGTAATCATCAAAATTAAACAAAATAAACATCTGAAATATATGAGTTTGTATGTAATGTATGAATATAATATACAAGTTTCACTTTTTAAATGGAATTACTGAAATCAATCTACTTTTTCATGATATTCTAATTTTATGACCAGCACCTGTATATATGCAATCAGATATTAAATGAAAGAAGAACATTCTGAACCATATGAGTTGAATCAAAGCAATAAAGAGTCAAGTTTGTCAAAGTTTGTTTAAAAACCAGAGGATTATTAATATTCCTGTTTTGCACCAGATTTGACATAGCTATGACCTACAACAGCTAAACTGAGTGTTTTGACTGGATGGTCTGACCTTTTCTCTTTAATCATTAAAAATGCTTTAAGTGACACAATCTGTTTCTCTCTTCTTGTTGTGTTGATGCTAAGACACATTTAAACAGTTTTTGCAGCAGAGGCTGAAACCCATTAGTTTTTCTTGCACTCCTCACCTTGTTTTGCAAGAAAATGTATGACTTTTGCCACTGATCTCAAAGCACTGCTGAAGAAGATTATTGGCATATTAAATGGAAATGAGGAACTCTCTATGACGCTTTTCAGTAAAAAGCCTTCTGTTTAACCCTAACACTGCTAGATGTAAAATGAAGAAACTCTGTTTCTCCACTTTCAATTGCTCATAATGCCTTATGTGTGACACAACTATCTTTTCTTCTCAAAGTATTCAAGAAGACAACCTTCTTTGCGGGTGTAGCCCTCTCCTCTCCTCTCCTCTCCTCTCCTCTCCTCTCCTCTCCTCTCCTCTCCTCTCCTCTCCTCTCCTCTCCTCTCCTCTCCTCTCCTCTCCTCTCCTCTCCTCTCCTCTCCTCTCCTCTCCTCTCCTCTCCTCTCCTCTCCTCTCCTCTCCTCTCCTCTCCTCAGATTAATAAACACTATTAGAATAAACCGGACTGATTAGGAGAAAGTCTATTTTATCATGTTCTTTTAAAATATATATTTTTTTAACATGGCACCATACAGTCATGGACATAGTTATAGAAAAGGGGGAAAAAAAAAGTTATTTTTTAATTTCCTAAAAAATATCAGCAGCAATTCATAAAATCAGTTGAAATTATGAAGGGTGGTCTAAAATTTTATTCCACGACTGTATAAATAAAGTTCACCTGAGCTGCATTATTGAATTGAATAAAAGGAATATTATATTACAAGTAATAAATATTACATCATAGTATGAGTACATTTTGCTCAGGCTGGGATCCACTCGCTGCTGAAATTTCTATTCTGAGTGTATCGGTGGGCTTTGTTCTGTTTGAATATGTTTGTGTGTTTTTGATGAAGTGTGGAGCAACACTGTGGCCACCTGTCTGGTTTCGCTCCAGTACCTATCATCCACTGACGGGCTCAGGCAGGGAAAACCACAATTAGACTGCACAGGCACAGATATACAAAGTGCATTAATAACAAATAAACCAGTCAAGAGCAAACTCTATTTAATTCAAGGATCAGAAATGTGACAGTACAGAGTACAAGATCTTGGTCAGTATGTCTCCTGTACAAGTCAAAAATATTGTATTTCAGATAGTTTGTATAGAAATCATAAAACCTTCCCCAAGGGAAATAATATAGTTTGTCTCATTTTATAAAACAAAAAACAAACAGAAAAATAATAATAAAACAGCCCAATGAAAGATAAACAGCAGCTCTCACACACATACTTCCCAGTTTAATCTGCTTATTTAAAAGAAAAATTGACTCAAAAAGACGTTTGTTTATATGAATGTCTGCAGGTAGAAAATAAAGCTGCACATCTTGCATGAGAACAGAAACATTTGGATAATGGCAAACGCTAACCCTCGGTCATCTAAGCTCGGTTCGGAATATGAGGGGAGGGTTTAAATCTGTAAAGGAAGGAGATGTTACAGGAGGGATATCTACCCCCTGGAGCACATGGATATATTGTGCTTTAAAAATGTGGAGTTAGGTTTTTTTATTTTTTATTTATCCTATCCAGCTTTTGTTAATTACAAAAAAAAGTCTAATGAATTCGTTGAAGGTGTTCGAAGGTTATTACTTAAATGGATTGACAACATGATAGAAATATCTCCACCAAAGTTCAAAAAGTTGTTTCAGAATACTCAGAATAAAAGAGGGCTAGACAGAAAAGATTGGCGTAATCGCACCCAGGTTTAAAATGATGTCCTTGGTTTGCACAGATTTGTCACCCTGCCTTTGTTTGGAGAAAGTGAAGATGCAAATGGTCCAGTCTGAGGATATGAGATAGACTTCTGCTTTTTGTAAACAGCACACAACCTGCATCACGACACAAATAACACAGACGCCAAAAGAGAGTAGATGACTGAGATCGGTCTGAGAAGTCAAACATAAACAGAAATGGGTTTTTTTGGCAGCTGACACAAGCAACAATAATGGCTTCTTCATTTTGCAGAAGTGACTGCTCTGTGTAATTACGCAATAGCTCAATTTATAGTAAATAACGGAAGGCTGTCATTAGGGTTAGGGTTTAAATATAAAGTCATGTAAAAAAAAAAAAAAACACCTGACAGCAGGACTTTGTGTCTCCCATGCAGAATTTGGGGACATTAAAACACTGAAAAGTTCAAGTAATAAACAGTTATTTGTGAAGATTTATTTCCACTAAAATGGCTAAAACTAGGCATTTTTTTTATATCAAGGAAAGGTTAAGGACAATTTGATGTTTTCCCTCTCTAAGCCTCATTGAAGAAAGTGTCTTTCTTTTAAATAAAAACGTCTCCACCCGGAGGACATTCAAAACATCGTCTAACAGCTAGGGTCTGATTATCCAAGCAAATTTATCCCAGAAGCAAACTGTAAGATGTTTAAAAATGGCTTCAAAAACTACAAATGATCACTGTGGGACTTTTAGCAGAACTTTGATGCTTTGGTAAAGCTTTGAGGACAACATTAAAACAACAACAAACTAAAGTCACCAATTGAGACTGCAGAAGTAGGGCATGACTTCTGGAATTATTAGAGCTGAATTATGGGAAATTAGAACATTGTTTAGGATATATGACAAATATACAAGAAAAGGATGTTCATTGCAGTGATAAAGCACAGAGATGGAAGTGTAGTTGTTAGGAGATGGATCGGATAATCCACCAGGAATCCTACAGTATGTATATCTACATGAATGGAAACTTGGCTATTGTTGTGTTTCAGAAAGGAAGTAAAGTTGCTTCTTATTTAAGCTTGTTTTGTGGTCAAATTTTTGGTAATGTTATTGTTTTAAACAAGAGGAAATTACATATAGTAACTGAGGTTGTTTCCCAGGTCTTTTCGAGACATAAATGCAACTCCAATATATGTCTTATAATAAATCAAATCAAACAAAAACAGGTTTGATTCACTTTTCATTAGAAATCTGATAGTTAAATGAAATTCAAATAAAGAAAAGAACATTATCTGCAGAAAGGTATAAGTGTCATAACAAGAAGGTTCAGACTTGTGCCAGGATGAAAATGGTAAATATTATTAAATGCCTGACCCAGGGAGATTTCTGTCTAATTTTTATGTACCAAAGGAACCAGGGTGCTCATTCAGATATGATGTTCCTGTGATCAGTCACGCTCAGATTTTTGGAAAATCATGCAAGTTACTTAGGAGTTTTCTAATAATAATCTGGGCATGTCAGATACAATTAAAAACAAATAATGATTTTCTCTGCATGAACACCTTGTGTTATTACCTTATGGGTTTTATGTGCAGCCAGTCAAACTGTTGTCTCAACATAAAGGTTATACAAACAAAACACCAACTATGGTTTCAATAATTTATGAAGAAATTATAAATAGACCTTATCTAAATATCTTTGTAAATGTCTAAGTTAACATTCTGCCCAAATAAAGGATTAAATTACGTGAAATCGGACCCTGATTTTTTTGTTTTGTTAAAGTAAGATTCAACAGTTACGAGTGTCTACGCTGATGTCTCAGCAGAGTCTAAGGAGACAGAAACAAAATAGACCATAACACTAAAAATAGACCATAACAGGTTCTGTCAAGTACGGTAAGTTTTCTAATCTCTGGCATTAAGTAATGGCTTCTTGATTTTACAGCTATCATGTTAAGGTTTCTTCCTAGTATCTATATTTCCAGTAGCTTTACTAACATTAAATTAATACCAGAAATTGGTAACAACTCAAGCAACTCCACACATTAAGAAATCAAAACAATTTTGTATGTAAAAAGTTCTGTGTAATAAAGTGGAATGAGGGGGAAGAAGGAAACCTAAACAAAAGCACCAAGCAAGGAAAGAAAGGAAATAATTTGTTTTCAGAAACCATATTTCCACCATATTAAGGGCTGTCCCAAATCACGTAGTGAGCAGGGCGAGTGAGAGTCTGCATCAGTGCAGAGAAGAAAGGCTTCATTAATTCCAAAAGGGAATGTCCTCTTTGAGAGTTTTATTTGGCACATTTGTTTTATGTTGTTTTTGTTAAAGCTCTCAATTTACCGGTCGGTCTAGGTTCCTACCCTCACCTATGGTCATGAAATCTGGATAATGACCGAAAGAACGAGATCCCGGATACAAGCGGCTGAAATGAGCTTTCTCCGCAGGGTGTCTGGGCTCTCCCTTAGAGATAGGGTGAGGAGCTCAGTCATTCAGGAGAGGCTCAGTGTAGAGCCGGTTCTCCTCCACATCGAGAGTAGTCAGTTGAGGTGGCTCGGACATCTTCTTTGGATGCCCCCTGGAAGCCTCCCTCGGGAGGTGTTCCAGGCACGTCCCACTGGGAGGAGGACCAGGGGACGACCCAGGACACGCTGGAGAGACTATGTCTCTCGGCTGGCCTGGGAGCGCCTAGGGCTTCCCCCAACAGAGCTGGAGGAGGTGTCAGCGGAGAGGGAAGTCTGGGAGTCTCTGCTTAGTCTGCTGCCCCGACGACCCGGTTTCGGATAAAGCGGGAGACGATGAGTTACATTTGTTTTAAGAAATGGGTAAATGCTGGATTTCATGTAAACATGTGCCACAGCCACACATGGGGCGTCCATGTGTTGCTATAGCAACGACTGCTTTCCTTTTCCAGTGGAGGGAAAAGGCCATCCCATTCTCGTTTATGGAGTAGTGCATAAGGGGTGGTTTGGGATTGGGCCATAGACTTTATCCAGATGTGCTCCCTAACCCTTCTATCACTACATGGAGCCGGGACTATATAGTGGACTTTATAGTGCACAAAGTTAACTGACCATTTGGACAGATGATCACTACCTTTTGCTCCCCATTGGTCACGTACTCTTGTTCCTCGCATCCTAGCATGGTACTTGCACCATCTTGGTTCTTTGTCGCCCCAATAGCATTGCGTGAAATTTGGAGTCCACTACTTTTTTCTCGATTAAATGTTCGGACACTCATATAAAATGCCATAACTCCTATATGGTGCTCTATAGAGGTTCCCTGGACCGGGCCTCATCCTGGTGCCTGAAACCCTTATAAAGAGAAGAGTCCAGAGAACATTCAGAAGAGGTGTCAGAACACTGCACTGATGAAGACGGAGCATGTTAAAGGACATTTTAAGTTTGAGCAATCCAATGAAATATTTAAAATAAAGTAGTTTGGTCTTATGAGGAGAACATTTGACCACAATAGCTTCAAGATTTGAAGATATACTGGAAGAATGGACAAAAATCTCATGCTAGCAAGGCAAGCCACTTGTTTCTAGATACAGGAAATAAAGTTTTAATCTAAAAAAAGGCTCATCTATTAAGCATTGAACACATTAAAAATAAACCATTCAATACTTATTCATTGTCATTCCACTTTATCACACAACAACTGATTACATGGACTTTGTCTCAATCCTCTGTGTTGATTACTTGATTGTGATTCTTTTTAACCAATATACTAGAAAGAAATATTAACTGAGAAAAATGCTGTTATTCTATAACAATATCCATTGTATTTTTTGTATAATTTATGTTTATAATATCTATAACTCAGCTGAGAGAACTGTATCTTTCATGCTAACTTTGTGCATCTAATACTTAATTTTCTGGTTCTGACTGTTACCTTCTATTTTAAGAGAAACACAACAATAATTATTTATTTTATAAGTCATTTCTATAAAGAATTTAATATCTGTGCAATAAAGATATCTTCCTGCCTCTGACTTACATCAGAGATGGTGCATTGTAAATTGGAGCGGCATTAATTAGACAGCCTTGTGTATAAAGGTGTGTGCATCATCTTGAAAGGCATCAGTACTTCATCTGACAAATTCAAAATATGGTAGAAAGCAAGTTTATCTGCTGTGAGTAGCACTGGCAGTTTCTAAGATATTTTTTTCTCTCTTCTTCTTCTCGCTGATCCCAGTGTGATCCTTTCACTGGGCTTTTCCTCCCTCTAAATTGGTGATAAGCACTGATGTCTCTTGGCAGTGGGTGTGGGGGCCCTCATTGCTTCGATGGATGCTGTTGTGCTCCATGGTGTCTCTCCATATCTGCTCACACTCGTCTCTTCTCCTTCTTACTTGTCTCTATCTTCTCCTTCCTCGCTCCACTTTCCCTTTAATTAGAATTGAGCTGTTAACACAAAGCCTCTCCAAGTGAGTTTACTTTACCACCAACTATTTATCCTCATGCTCAGATGCAGTTATATTTTTTCCCCCCATCTGTTTAACTGGTCATGCTACATCGTAAGCACTTGGGTTTTTTTTCTAAAGGTAGCTCATTTGAACTCTGCAAACTTTCAACATCTTAAGCTTCTAAGTAATCTCTGTCCATCCTGTCGATTCACATAAACATCCTGGCTTCTCTCCTGTCTCCACTGAGTTTGTGAACTATGTGGCCTGTTTCTGTTTTCTCCGACAACCTTGTTCTCCATTTACCCTCCTTCCTCCCTCCCCATCTTGCAAGGCCTGTCAGTGTCTCATGGTGTTTTTGCCAAACTTGTCGCCGAGTTGCTGAATGAGCAGAGCCAGCTCCCCAGCGGCCTCGGACTTCTCCTCCAGCAGCTCATAGCGGAGGCTAGAAATGTCTTGCTTGATCTCCTTCAGCTCTCCTGCGATACAGAGAGAAGAGAAAAATAAAGAGGAAGTGATCACAGAGGAATTAGGACATGTGAAAGCAGAACACATCCAGGCATGACTGCGGGTCAGAGTGCAAAGTTTAAATGTCCATGACCCTTTGAGGTTTTAACATTTTGTTTGACTTTTTCCTCATCAATTCAGTGAAATTATTTTGCATGATAAACTACAAGAGGTGAGAATTTGAAAATTTTAGGAAAGAAAATGATTAATTCTAAAAGATTTAATCCCCTAAACGAAAAAAAAGTTATTCCTGTTTTAAGAAATATTTACTTCCATCAAATCACTGCTGATCATCCCTGCTAATAAAACAACTTTTGCCATCACAACGGTGCCTAATCTCATCCTCCATCCTTCTGAATGTCAGTGCAATGCCTCTTTCACATCTGGGGCTGTACTCACTGAGCAAGTGGAGAAATTGATAAGTAATCCTGAAACCAGTCCTGCATTTCTTGTGCAGATAAGGTTCAGCTTGTTGTTTCACTGAACTGTCAGCCTTCACCTCATCCTGAAATTGGGAACTCTCCCGAGAAGCTTTTCTCTCTGTAATTTGAAATCTATTCTTCTTACATCAGTCTTCATTCCCGCCTTGACAAAACTGCAAACTATTGGAGAAAAATGTCTTTGAAGAAGGTTTTTCGCCACCACCAAGTTTCAAAGAGGAATTGTAGATTTGCAATTATCCATCACCGTGGAAAAGGTAACGAGCTGCTATATGATAAATCCAAGTTCTTAACTTTTACTGTATCAGCATCTGTATTTTTCTCTCTATCCTTTCTACTAGAAATTCTTCTCTCATAAAGAACTGGTGATTAGTTTCTTTATAAGATTATTATATAACTAAATATAACAGATGAACAACTGGTTTTTCATTATATCTGTGCATTAAGATCTCAGAAGTCTGTGGTTACATTCAGACTACCTCCCCATATTATAATTAAGAAGAGGTGTAGTAGTAAAGGCCTTTGTTTAAATGTGAGCTCAAATAATGAGGATTTATTAGTTTCTCTGCAAAGGGAAAAGAGGGAGAAGATATCACCAATAAAATCCAGTAGATTGGAAACTTAATAGGTAGGAAGATGATCTGTTCAAACCCGCTGGGAGACAAATCTGGTGGAGGAGACGTCTGCGTAAATTAGGGGTTTTTAATAGTAGAGGACAGCAATGAAACATTGCAGATAATCTCAATGGTGAAATCAATTGCAGTTAGGACATATTTTCTTCACTACTCCATCCTATTTTGTCATTACAGAGGAACCATTCAAGGTCCAAGCAACTGACCATGTTAATTTTCCTCAAACAAAGGGTGTATACTCCAAAAATATTGATTCAAAGCTTTCTATGCAATTCGAGATTGCGCATATCATTGTGCAGACAACAGCATAACATTCAACAAAGCTAAAGTAGAAAAAAAAAATTTGCTTTGTTTTGGGTTAATTTCTGTTGCGTACATGAGCCCCGATTCAGGTTATACTTTGATTCCCTGTGGATACAGACTGCTTTTGATCAATACCTGGTTTGAGAGGCTCCCATTGTGTCAAAGAGGTGTATTTAAAATGTCATGAAAACGAGGGAAGATGGAACATTTAATACATTATCTTACTGCTATGTTAGAGTTTATGTTTATCCAACCTAGGTTGTGTTTAGAAGAAAATAAAAGAGGTATTGATAATTACAACATTAATCCACCCTGGGCTGGAAATATTAAACAAAATGAGACAACTGCTTAAAATGAATTTTTAAGCTCACCCACTTGTGTTAAAGTTATTAGTTTAGCACTTTAATAAGCATTTTATTGCTTGCAGACTATTCCAGAGAAAACAAACAAACAAGAAAAACAATCCCAAGTATGTGGAGATGTATATTGAAACTCAGTCAGGAATTCCTGTACACACATCTACAGATATGCTGTACTGCAGCATTATGACTCCATAATGATCCAATTGGAGTGAACAGTATTGAAAAAGCGATTCTTACCCTCGTTCACTTCATCGCTTTCTTTGTCCACTTGAGCTTTCAGCACATAACGTTTAATGAGCCGCTTCATGATATTCTGTAAGGAGGAAAGGAAAATGTGAGTCTTACAGACAAAGGACACAGCGGGGTGAGGTGAAAATGCTCACTGTATTACTCAAGAGGGAAAACCTGTCTTGTTGTTGAGAAGGCCACAAAACCATCCTAATTGTGGTGCAGAACTACACTTCTGAGACGGTATGTCAAACATTGCATATAGATTTGTGACCAGTTGCTGCTGCTGAGCCTGGGATTTTCAGCCTGTAAATGTGAGCATTCTGGAGATGTGTCGATAGATGTCACCTTACAACCAGTGCGCTTATATGTATAATCAAGTGACAACTGCCTCATCTGTGTGATTAGCTGTGAGTATCTGTTGTCGTTAAAATATACGAAATGGGATATTTTAGAAAAAAAAGTCCACTAAACCTGAGAGGATTTCCCTAATGGGAAAGATAAAGGGGAGAGTAAAGACGAGAGTTCTGACTCCTACTTAGTAAAATAATATAGTTTAAGCACATGTACAGAGTGTCTTGACCTCAATTACTCTTCAAGATCTTATTAAAGGAAATTTCAGCCGTACTCTTTTTTTTTTCCCTCTCTATATCTTTGTACCACTTCTCTTTGGTCGATGCCCTTCATTTCAAACTTCAAACATTTCAAATCCTTAGTCAATGTCATTTATACTGTATCATTCTCCTGCTTCCACCTCCTAACCTCCATACCTCCTTCTCTTCCCTTCCTCCCTTTCATCCTGCCTTTATCGTTAACATAATTCAATCTCTGCATTTTCTCTCTGCTACGTTCCTCAGCCTGTTTGTCTCATACTTCATTCTTCCTCTAGACTGCATCTAATTTCCAATTCTCTTCCCTCTCATCTTGACTCCCCCCTACACTTTGTCTTCTGCTTCCAATTCTGTCAGAATTCTGTCAGACTCTTACCTGATATCTGGTTGGGTGTTTCCGAGCTTTTCTCTGTATAAACTCCTCGCCTGGTTGTGCATAAGACCTAAACCTTTCATCCTGCAATGGCAAGAATGAGAGACACTTGAGTAAATTGGAAGTTTTTTTGAAGGATGAGAAAGGAGGCGGAAAAAGCTTTAAATAAAAAACTTATCACAGAGTTCAGTATTTAAATGGCTTGGAAAAACAAACAAACAAAAAAAAAAACAGCAGACCTACTTTATCTGAATCCAACATATCTATCAACTGACTCTGAGATGCCTTCACTGAATTTAACTGACTTGCGTTGGCTTCAGACTGCAGCAGTAAACATTATGTGAGTGTTATCCCGTAGGAGATCTGATATGATAGATGGTTGCAGCAGTATGTATAAAGATAAATAAACTAACTAACTAAACTAACCACCTGACTCCAATAAATATTTATTTCAGCCTGACTTTGGGGGGATGTCTGATAATGCGACATATCTTGGTGAGCACTGTAATTTATTTAAGATTTTTCTCTAATCCACACAGCATGTAAATGATACATTTATCCCCTTTTATTATTTGTGGATTGTCCTGTCTCTTATCACATTGCACAGAAACCAAACACTTGTTGTAGTCATAAACAAGCTCCTGCTATTTCCAACTGATTTTTTTCTTTTTTTTTTATTACCTCTCCTCTTCGCAGAACTGAATGAGCGCATTTTAATTGGTCTATTTCTTAGGAACAGACCTTTTAAGCAGAGCAAAGTCCATAAATGTTTAACAGAGTTGAGGTTGGGCACTTTAGGAAGGTTAATGTTTGCCTACTATCACTTTCAAAACTGGTTTTAATATGTGTTTAGGATCATTTCCACATTGGTAAACCTATGTGTCCAATGATCTAAAACTATGACTGTTGAACTGACAACTGGAAGATTTTGACCTAATCCTCATTCTTCATTAACCTCCCTCTGCACCATTGTTTGGGATTAGAGGCTTTCATCCTGCTCCTAATTTATCTTTATGTTTACAGTAATCAGGTCTTCTTTTAATATTTGTAGGTTTTCATTGCCTGTCACAAACCTTAACGGTTTCTATATGCCTTTGGAAAACCCTGCCACTATCCTTGAGTTACCACCTGTGTGATCTCAGTGCTCTATGCTCTCCAGCCAGAACTCACCCCTACATGAGCTCACACTCATGAAAAGATCTGCTGAATAACTTATCTGCATCTGCCTTCTGTTTTACTTGTCAAAAAACCAAGTGAGAGAGAGTAAGCTCTATACTCACCTGTCATACATACCTGCCCACCCTCAGCCTGCCATGCCACTCACCTTACCTCCAAGCCACAAAAGGAACAATGACAACTCTACCTACCACCCACTCTATGGTATTGTCTTAGCAGCCATCCCAGAATCTCCTGTCAACTCCCCAAAGCCATGGCTTCATCATCAAAAGAACAAGATAGATAAATTTAGAGAATGTCTTGCTTAAGTTATTTTCTGTTATTATGTAAAAACAGGAAGCTAGTTAAACTTTAATATTTGTCATCTTGTGGTTTCTACTTTGAAATTCTACAATTTAAAGCATCATCCCTACTCATTCAAAAATACTGTTTGTCCGTTTGCCCAGAAAGTCCTCTCACTGTCTTATATAACCGTTAAAATTTGGATTTTGGCCTTTAAGTTGTGCTTGAAGCTGCAGATTTTGGAAAAAGAATATCTAACTTGGCCCACCCCCCTCTATGCTGATGTTAAACTATTTACTACAGGGAATGACACTAACTTAGCATCCTAGCCATCCTTGCATTCTATTGCTTCTATTCAATAATCTGCCAAAATCCACCTGACATTGTTCAAATGTCTTCCCTGTAGTTTTCAATCCTATAACAAAAACGTTATTCACTGGGCTCTATGTTTAACTGAGATATATGTCATCCAGTCTAACAGTTACCAGCCATACTATAAGGAAAATAAAAAAGCACTCAGAGTGCAGACCTCCACCAAGCAGCAAAGTTTTCCCCAAATTGTGAGGCACCCCTCTGGTAAAAATTTTTTTCCCATAAACTCCTTTCATAAGTGTTCAATCGATCCTGCAAAATAATGATCCCTTTGCTTGTGTTTTTGTCTTCAGTAAAATATCTCCAGAACTTTTTTGTCTGATTCTGAGGCTGTCAATAGCCACTGCAGCCACCCTCTGGTTTAGTGGGGAACTGCTCTTTCTGCCAAATAACCCTACCTTACAATGTTAGAGAATCCTTAAAAGAAATTCCCGTAGCCAGATTATGATCTGGATCATCCCCAACACGTAATGGATTTCTAATTGGCATGAGGGACAGCTATGATAAAAATTTTATTAACATCCGTCAGTAACTTTTCCATGTCATGCTGTACACAGACAGACAGGCAGACAGACACACACACAAACTGTCCTAAAATCATAACCACATTGGCGGAGGAAAAAAATAAATCAAACATTTAGAAAGACCACGCTGTTATTTCTAAATCTCACCGGACATCCTCAACACTTTCCTGTCGGCTAATGTGAGCTTATCTATTGATCGCCTGCTGCACCCTTTTGCTTTTGCCTCAGTTAAACTGTCAGCTCTGCAGAAATTCTTTGACACTCACAGAGGCAGCAGGGTGAAACCTATCTTGTCCCGATCCTAAACCTGCCTGGGCATTGCAGCAGATGCAGGGAAAAGCAATGAGCTGACTAATAGCTCTGGTGCGGAGAGCTATTCCAGCCAAGGGGTTCAGCAGAGCAAATGCATGTGAATGATGACAATCTCTATGTTTTAATGCCATATTAAATATTATTTTCCTTTCATCATAAAAAAAAAATAATAAAAAAATCTGTTAAATTGAACTTTATTGATCTAACATTGGAGAAATTTACCTCTGCATTTCACCCATCCACATGGGGAGCAGTGGGCTGCCATTGTGTGGCACCCGGGGAGCAGTGTGGGGTTAAGGGTCTTGCTCAGGGACCCAGAATGGAGGCTGTGAGGTTTGAACTTGGTACTTGCAACCTTCTCAGAGCACAAGTGCACTGTTCAAATCCACTAGGTTGACACTCCCCAAAGAGATCTGATTTAAAGTTTTGGTCGACTTAGATCTGTTTAAATCTTTTCTAAATTTTTTTAAAGGAAGCCATGATCACACTGAAAACCTCTAAACAGACAAACAACATATCTCAGAGAGAAACTGCACTAACTACTACTCTATAATTAGAGTCGCTGCAGTAGTTTGGTTTAGGGGAATAAAACAACAGATTAATTAGATTTTTTTAGATTATATAAAATGAGGTGGTACAATAATGATAATAATTAAATTAATAATTAACAAATCTGTTTTTAAGACTTTCTGTAATAGACCAACACAGAGTTGAGTATGCAGAAGGTTGAAACTATCCATCCATCCATTTTCCATCACGCTTATCCCAAGTGGAGTTGCGAGGAGTGCCGGTGCGTTTCTCCAGGTGCCTACGGGTGAGAGGTGGGGTCCACCCCAGTCCATCGCAGGGCAACACAGAGACAAATAACCATTCAAGCACACACTCACTCTAAGGAGAATTTAAAGAAGCCAATTAACCTAACAGTCATGTTTTTGGACTGTGGGAGGAAGCCAGAGTACCCGGTAAAAACCCAGTGCTACCCACTGCGCCATTGTGCAGTACCATAAATTGCAAACTAGAAGCTTTTGAAATATAAAGCTATATAAAATATATATGGTACATTAAATGAAAAATACAAATCTGGAAAATGTGGCCTGCATTTTTCTTATATAGTTTACTTTATTTTTATAAAACTAAATATCTATGGCAACTAACTACTGTCAGAAGACATCAGTCAATGTGTGAAAGTAAAGATCTGGGAAAATGAGACCAGAAGTTTTTTTTTTTTTCCAGTCTATAAACAAACAACATGCCAAGAGTGGAGAATAATAAAACGTCCTATCACTCTAAAGACATCAACCACTTGATAAAACCTGACTGTGGCAGCATCATGCTAGAGTGGCCAGTTTTGTTCTATAGGGTAGTGAAAATGATCAGAGTGTGATTGAATGATGGGCAGAAATAAATTCAGAGGAATCCTGGAACCACAAGTGTTACACCTCACCTTAAAGCAGAACAGTGACACCAAGCATACTGCCATTTCTACAGTGAATTGGTGTGAATGAAAGCACACTGAGCAGTCAAAGTTCAGAGCTGAATCCTAATAAAAATTCACAGAAGCTCTGCGTCCATTCTGATGGCAATAGATTTATATTGCAGAGAACAGGGACATATTTCACTCTAAGAAAAGCTGCTACACACAAAGTATTGCAGCTGTAGCCTGATCTAAGTTTTCTAATCCAGACCATAGTCTGTTTTTATAGGTAGATAGCAGTACCGGTAAATAAAAAACTAATTAAAAACATTTTGTGAAATGAAATAATGCATAAAAAAATTATCTATATTGCCTGTCTACTTAAAAATTATACCAAATCTTTTAAAGGTTCATCATGTGGACATCCAGTAAAAGACATTAAAGTTTGTTTGGTATAACTTGACAAAATATAAAAAGTTCAACAGGTAGACCATATACACTTTAGCAAGTAATTAGGATATGAATAATGAACAATTGACCTTGGCCTGTGAATGAACCATTCCCATCTCCACCTCATTGCTATGGTGCCTGCCATTGGCCTTACACAGGCGTATCAGGCATGACTTGATGCGAAGGACCAGGTAGTAGAAGGATTTAGGGCTGGGAACCAGGTTAAATGGGGCAGGTAGAGTTCGACCCTCATCGAAGTAGGACAGCCACAGCTTGGCACGGGCAAACTTCCACTCCACGTCTGAATCCTCCTGCAGGGAAAAACACACAGAAATGCAGGGTGAGTCTAGTGGATGATGACAGGAAAGACCGGAACTAATGAATAGCTATTAATTCCAGAGTACAATACCATAACGGTAGACAGTCACATCTGCTGGTTGACAACCTTTCTACAGACTTTATTTCTTTTTTAGTAAAACTTCTCTTTGAAATGTTTAACAATGTCTGATGTTGCCTGATTGATTTTCATTAGCTCATGACATTTTTTAAGTCAACCCTAATCCTCTTGTAGAAACATCACTGATACAAGATTATCCTTATTGACTTGTTGACAACATCCTGCCCTTGTTTCTATTGATTGGCTTCATACCTCTATCTCCTGGTACGAGCTGTTTATCATGGCAATGAGCATGTTGAGGAGAACCACCACCATGGTGACATTATAGACGCCATAGAGCACGTAGCCGATGTTCTCTATAAACTTATGGTCGTATTTCAGGACCACAGAGATCACTTCAGAGAGCCCGAATATGGACCAGAAAAGAGTCTTGAAGCTCTCCTCCACCCTAAGGGAAAAGAAATAGAGTGACATCATTACAAAACAGAGGCTACAGGTGTAGGAAAACACTGTGTAGTGCTAACAGTTGAGTCACACGCATGAAAGCAGACAATATGTGATCTAATGCTGCTTGATTTGTGAGGCAGGAGTGATGAGTCATGTCCAATTTGAACACATAATCCCATATCTGCACCTACTCCACATTTAACAAACATTGTGCTGCAGAAGCACACATGAGGAAGCCGACACGACATAGCTTCAGCATTCAAGAAATAATTTGCTTAAATGGCTAGGCTAATTAAGTTTTAACCCTTTGTCATTTTCACTCAAAGCAGACACCTGAAGTTTATAGAGACACATTAAAAGTTTGTCTGAAATATATTTAGTGTTAACAGTACAGGTTAGAAGTTTATATACATTATAGGCAAGATTTATTTTGATTTGGGGCTTCTAGTGGTTTATTTTAACTGTTATAACTGGGTGAAATAATCATTTAAAACTAGGGCTGGGTATTTTCGCCAAAGTCCTGAATCAATTCGATTTTGATTTATATAGTTCTAAATCAATTAATTTCTGTGTTTCAAAATACTCATGTATTTTATTTTTTCTTGTCATATTAAAAATAAAATGCAAACTTGTAAATCAGACAGTTTAAACTTGAGATGTGAAAAAAACTGTCTCAAAAGTGCAAACTTATTTGCAAAAAGTGAAAAAGTGAAGCCTCACTCGAGTAAGCAGACGTGAAACAGCAGACATGCATGAGCTGCATTACCTTCACTGCCCAAACCATATTTGCAGCGTTGTCTGTATCAACTACAGGGTTTTTGCTGGTCAGCCCCCATTTGTTAATGTCTTCAGTCAACCTATTGGCTATATTTGCAGCTGTCTGGCTAGAAGTAATCTTGAGTGCATCTTTCCCGCTAATTTGGATGTGAACATCACGCGCTTCACTATAAAATTAATCAATCTCATTCCCTAGACATCAATTTTGCAAAAATGCAAAGGAATCAATCCAAAATCGATTAAATCGATTTTTTCCACCCAGCCCTATTTACAACCATGAAGAATTTTAATAAAAGTATTTGGATGTACATCCAATTATCCCCATTCTAAACATATTTAAAATTATACACACAGGCTTAAGTAACTAAAGTCTCACCAGCGGTGGACTGGCCATTGGGGGCCCTGGGACATGTCCTGGTGGCCTGGCTACTGGCCTTGCCCTCTCAGTGGTTTCAGATTGCATGAGACCAATGGTTGTCTCATGTTATCTTCAAAATAAACAAACAATGCCATTCATGGATTTTTACTCAGCCATCTGGCTTGCTGAGGCCTCAACGCACTGAGTAGTGTAGTAGTGATCAGGGAAAAGTATGTACAACCCTTCTTTAGACAATCAAAAGGAAAGGAGGAGGGGAGAGAGAGAGTATAAAAAGGAAAAAGATCTGGCTTGGAAGAGCTCCAAAATGTTGTCGGGGAGCAGGTAGAACCTAAACTCTAGTGGTAAAAAGTGAAAATTTTGTATAAAATGTTCAGCACTACTAGCTTAATTAGGTTAATGCCACTTAATGGACTTAAGGAGGCCCAGACTGTTTTCATTAAATAAATGCTTTAAGATTTTAGAAAGTTAAATGCAAACTTTAGTATTAGGGTCAAAGAACAAGGTCTGGAGAAAAAAAAACATATCTGTTTAACAATCAAAATCTAGGAATTCAGCCTTTGTGTACAATTAATATTCTCCACTAAAAATATTATATATGATAAAATCATTCCAAAAAGTTAATAAACAATCCACTGGACTTAGTTTCTAAGTCTTTAGACATTTTGCTTCCCATCCAGGGAGCTTTTTAAATTCAAAAAGGCAGAATTAGCATTGAGTTTGAGGCTTTATAGAGTGAACCAAAACAAGGACATGCAAATTACAGTAAACCAGAAGAACGAGTCTGCCCCTTAGGAATGGGGAGTCATTGGGTTCTTTGTTAGCCTGCAATACCTGATACTGATATATGCCTCTGATATATGCCTCTGACTGGGGGGGGGGTTGGGGGTCATTGGGGGGAATTGTTGGTCTGGCTGAACAGGCGAGATGTTCTGGTCCCCTGTAAGGCGATGGGGGTTGCAATGATAGTGGGAAGGAATCAACTCTATTGCTTCATTGTAGCTTTTTGAAAGTTGAAACATGAGTCCACCCCCTCTGTTTAAGATTGTTTTTTCCTGCTTAACATAAATTGGCTCCTTCACACCACTTTTAAACCACCTTTCTCCTTTTTCTTAATTTTTTTATTTTTTGGAATGACTATGACCTGGATTACAGAGAATATTCACCAGCAGATCTTTAAATTCATAAAAAAAAATTTTTTTATTCGACCTAAAATCCCGATAAAATTAAGAACATGTTTGTTATGATATGAACATTGCCAGGGCATATAAATAGCTGGTGCATTTTAATTGATAGGAAAATCTGTGTTGCTTTTGGATTTCTTTTTTACAAAGGTGTGAAGAAAGCTGTGTCAGTATGGCGAGTAGGACTGGAGCTGCAAGGGCTCCTGCTGTTAGGAGGGAGGTGGATAGCAGCAGTAAGACAGAGCAGGAACCTTCAGGTAGAATTTTAAAGCACCAGACACGTATCTGAATGTGATATTTTTCACAATAGTCCTAAGTAAGGTATGTAGGGAATAAGAGGAAACATCACAGGAAATTCGGCAAACTTTGCAACAAAATGTTTCATCAAATTAGGTAGAAAAACAGATTTGAATGAAAAAAAAAAAGAAATGTCATATGTTGCACAAATTTTGTAAAAAATTGCATGCATTTTCCACAGGCAGGGAAGAGTGTAAAACCCTCAAACAGAACCAGTAGCCAGTACTATTCATACAGGAACATCGTGTCAAATGTGAATCTAAACTGTTTAGGGAATAGCTGGTGAAGATTCCCAGTCATCAAGGTCATAGTCAAATGACAAAAAAAAAATCCCCTGAACTTTGTTTTCAAGTTTGAAGATGTTTCACTTCCCATTCAGGAAGCTTTTTCAATTCAAAAGCTTTTAATGTTTTGAAAAGCTTCCTGGATGGGAAGCAAAATGTCTTTAAACTCGGAAACGAAGTTCAGTGGATTAGGATTATTGTTTTTGAACTTTTTAAGGAATGATTAGGGAATAAATAAAGATAGTTAACTTTAAATATTTTCAAAGCTTTGACCTCAATTACAATAAAAAGAGAACAACAGATCATAAACCCTAAAAATGAGATAGGTAATGAGCACCATACACATAAAAAATTACTCGTAAAAATTACCTTTTTTGTTGACTGCCAAACAAACATTTTTAAGGTCCACAGCTAAATGTCCAGCTGTGTTTGTTTGTGTTTGTTCCTAAGCCTTTGGGTTAAAAAGAGAGCAACCAAGAACAAGGTAAATCAGGAGAAGGCTGCATGATCTGTGAGCACAAGTATTCAGGTACATCTGTGGAGTTAAATATTCCATGAGAGGCAAACATGAGGCTTGAGATGACAGAGAGGAGCCACAGTGGGAAGAATGAGCGGACTGATTGAAATGCTGGAGGGCTTGGAACTAAAACAACACTGTGAAGAGAGAAGATGTGTAGGTTGTGGAACTATGAGCTTCTTCAAAAAAAAAAAACTTCACAAAAAAAGTCAAAGTGTTGGCATAGAGGAAAACCCATCATCTCACAAGCATGAAAAGAGGTTATCAGAGAAAAACATACAGTCACCAACTTTCCCCACCTTTTACTTTCACACGGTAGGAAAAGTACTCCGAGTTCCTCATTTTTCGGAGTGAGACAAAAAAAAATTGTATTATTTGATGCTACATGAATGTCTCTTTATTTTATCTCCCTTAGACTCATCTGCAGGAATATTTACTCTGTACGTTAACCTACATAGTATCCTGGAGTAAACAAAGTAATCTAAAAAGAAAAAGTGGGCAAAATTAAAAAACTGTTGATCAGAAATGAATATCTCCAATATTTTCCGGTCTCTTAACATAGGCGTGCAGTTTTTATCCTTTGGTGAAAAAAGCACAATCAAAAGCTGTGTTTAGAAGTTTCTGAGATAATGACTATTCTTCAGGACTCCAAACAACCTGTGGAATTAAAAGAGAAATTTTTGTTTTCATTTACACCTCTTTGCACAGAGGTTTCTATCGAGCAATAATAAAGTTTGGTTGGATGCTAAGAAGGTTTCTAGAAGGATATGTTCTTTGTGGCACACCACTCCCCTCAAATTGCCAGTTTTTCACAGACTGCTGCTGTTGCTCATGGAGACCGACTATAACCATGATTATGGCTATTTCCATGAGATGCCATCAATGTAATTGAGGCCATGGCTGTGCTTTAGTTGTAATGACTACTCTGTCATGTCAGGGGCACATTATATTGTAATGATTGCAACACAGATGACATGCAGAGGTTATATGTATGCCTGCAAGTTGACATCAAGGGAGCTTTAAAGACTAACTGCAGTGAAGAAACACAAAAAGTACAACAAAAACTAATTATCAACACTAAAGCTGGGGGAGATATTATGGTGCCTTGAATTTTTTTTTATACCCCATATTGCCAAGTTACATCCACAAAAGTTAAGCTTTTTATTTCTATTTTATGTAATTTTCCAACATAGGTAACATGTAACTGGGAAGTTGGGAAAAATGGCATGTGGTTTTTAAACATGTTTACACAAAAATAATTTGTTTTTCAGCCCATTTTAATGACATAGCCTGAACAAAGTCTAAGGCAAACTTCAATGCAATTTTACACATACATAAATAAGCAGTATCATCAAGTCTAAATACACATCAGCTATTGGAGTTTGAAAGACGCTTCATTTTTAAAACATATAAATATAAAAAATATAACTGCGGATGTCTGGGGGACAGTGATCCGCCTAGGTTATGAATGCTGGTGTACCATAAAGAATAAATTATGAACAGTTTAGTTTGTGCCTTCAAGTCGTTGCCCATAGGAAGACGTTACTTGGATATAACCTAACTGAA